TTATGGAACTGAAGTAGATAGTCATCAGTGCATGTAGACCTGATTGGTCACATGGACAATGCAGAGTTAATGACTCGCATCTGAATGATTATTTTGAAGATAGTCGTCCTATTTTCTATTTCTAACATTCATGTATATGACGGTATGATCCGCAACTTGAAGTATTTGAGACATCCAAATTCACAGTACAATAAGTCTCCAATGTTTATCGAATCTCTGACATAGTGTAGGCTACGCTGTTATTAGAGGTGCTTGAGCATCATTTCAATGAATTCATGCGCAGCGATCATCGCATCAACACTCATCGATTGTTACCTCGTTTAAGATCGTTCTAAATCCTGGCTATCGCCAGGATCATAGAGTATATCGTCTTCCGATGCTATGCACGAGGCCGGTGTTGTGTTGTAGAGCCCCTTCATTGCGTTCCTATAGCTTTCTCTTTGTTTCTTCTCTTTTCGTTTTTCTTTCTTTTCCTTTTTTGCTTCCTCATCTTCCCCTTCTTTTCCCCCCGGGGGATCTAGCATAAACTGCTCCAGCATGGTGTAAACGCCTTCGCCAATAGTCACTGTCCTTCTACAATAAAGACGCAAGGACAGCTCAGTTTATTGCAGTGGTTTGATTTAGATACGTCTATTATCAATATCAATTCATTTTTCTCTCATTACATTACTTTACTTATGTCCGAGAAGTTTGCCAATTGGACCTCTCAGTGGACAAGTTACATCTTCTGAAAAAATGGCGCGTGTCTCTTCGACACCAGGAAATACACTAGTAATTGCAATGGGCTCCGACTGCCGAGTCCCGAGCAGATATATTAGAGCGATCGAAGGCCAACGGTCGTCGCCAATCTCAAGCCCAAGATCAATCATCTATCATCTACTCACAGCTGCTTCAGACCCCCGTAAATACACCCCAATAGCAATATCAATCACCGTCTATCATGTCCAACAGTAGCTACATCAATGCACTAGTACGCTCTCTCCACGATGAGAGTCAGGAGCCCAACGTTGTCACGTTAAGTGGAAGCCAGCCCGAAATTCGAAGCCCCCATTCGCAGTCAGAGCCACCAAGTTTGTTCACACGATCAGCCAACACATGGGGAGGACAGTTCAACCCTGATCATTTCCAGCGCAACGCGTTCGCTATGATGTCAGCAAGTCCTGTCAATATGGAGAATGCAGCGTTCGCCGCGATGACTGCCGCGTCGCATCACAAATATGAAAAAAATGAAAAAAGAAGCGATCGCATCAACGAGAAATCGTATTGGGTCAACGGAAGCCACGTGGACGAAACCATCACCTACAACCAGTATACCATCGATACTGCCATCCTAGCTCCAACCACAGAGTCTCCGGAAATCAAGCAAGCGATCCTACAACAGTCTGTGAACTCCATAAAGCAGACAAAGACAACAATGGAACACAAGGTGGACTTCTTGATGAAACGCTACACATCAGTATGCCCAGACGTTTGCTCCTGAGTCAACGCCGCCACCAGCGAACCGACGTGACTAGTGAAGTGTACGAATTCACAAGCCTGCACGTCATCGGCAACATGGGACAAGCGATCGCTACAGGACCGGGACCAGGACTTCCAGCACCATTTAGAGCCGCTTCCACATACTTCTGAATCGAGCTCCGATTGGTCCCACGGCTGTGTTCCCTACGAACTGACATTGGAATCGACCCAACAAAGTTCCCACTGTCATGAAAGTGTTGTACAGTCAATTACAAATTTAGATTGCAGAGAGTTTGTTCTGAGCGCTAAAGGCACTCACGATAGAGCACATTTTGCTTTATTCTAACAATTGTGATCTTGAATTTGCGCTGATACTCTTCTTTGTCCACTGTTTTCTGTTCCTCAACGTATTTGTACAGCCTGAGACTATGTTTCAATACATTTTCCAGTTGCGCAGGACGGCGGCTCAAATCCTCATTATACTCTCCACCATATCTGGACTCTTCCCCTTGGCGGATGCAGCAGATTCTTTGGATGCTCGCCGTTCTGTCATTTCATCTTTGTATGAACATGACAGTAAGCAAGACCATACACTGTCACATTTTGATCCTTCTTGCCCGTTCTTTTGCACAATCGTACCATCTTCACGCTCCGTTCGACGCCTTTCATTGTTGAAGGAAGCGCATATGGCTTTCTTTGCTTTCATTTGACAGTTCTTGTTCGGTGTTACAAGTCCTGAAGCAACAAGAACGTCCAAGCACTCCTTTTGGCTCAACCCAAGCAACTAGTGGAATATTCCAATATCTTCATAAGCCTTGCTCTCTTCAGTTTCACGGTAGAACAACTGAAACCAGTGAGGCTTCAATAAGGTATGTTTGAGAGCAATGAAGCTACTTGCCAGAACGTCAAATGGGCTCTGTGGAGATTCAAGCTTGACCTGTTGTAACCACGGGAGTTTGAAGAAAGGAATATCTAGAAAATTACTTTCGTGTCCAGATTCATCATTGCTTCTTTCTGTAGTGTTTTCATCATCGCACTGCTCTTCACTTGGCTCATCATGCATAGACAATGCATCGTCAACATCATCATCATCATCATCATCATCATCATCATCATCATCATCATCATCATCATCATCATCATCATCATCATCATCATCGTAATGGAATCCATTGTTACCTACTCCATGATCATTATCCTCACTTCCATTGCCAATTTCCATTTCATTCGCAACCTTCCTTTTTTTCGATTGCCTCATGCTGCTGCTGTGGGATGATGGATTGCGGGGTGAAAGAAAATGAGCTTTGCATCCGTCCCTTGTGAACCAGCGTCTGCATTGATTTGAAATCGCTCCCGCAGTGTAACGGCATATTGAAGTTCGGTTTGGACCCACACATTGTTTGAAATTGTTCCCGCGGGGTTTTGATGTGACAAATGTGTTTTCAGTTTCAGATCATGTTTGCCTGTTAAAACAATTGGTTGCATTTCCATTGGACAATGAGTAAATTAAAATTGATAGGACATAATTGTTATAAAACGTGACATTGAGGCTTTAAATAAAAATATATTTTGAATAGTTTTGCAGAAAACTTGAATTAACACTCCCTCCGGAACGACAAGGTTCGCATATTTTTTCCAACATCTCATTGGACGCCATGATCCTAGTTTCAACCTTTGGAACTTCATCCAATAGTGTTAGACCTTTCAAAATAGCTTTAGGACATCGACTCGGACAAAACACTACAACCTCACAGTATTCTGATCTGCGCAAAGTTGTCTACGTGGGACTGTGGAGACCTAGAGTCAGTCACCCGAACCGTCTGGCCTTTCCCAGTCAATCTCAATTTCCCGCCGAGATTCAAAACCTCACGCCGGCATACCCGCTCGCCGGCCTTCTATCCGTTAGATTTGAATTCGTCAATCATTCATTCACTCACGGTTTCATCAAAATTGCAATGAAAATGAAGGTAAGTTTCGGATGGACGTTGCATCTCCTCCATACAAGTTTCTTACATAACTCTATTATCGCTCTATGCGCAGTGATGAGACGGATCGAATGAATGTGGTTGCGCTTCTGCAATTGATCGACTTTCATTTCCCTATCACTATCAGGATTCAAGACCTTTCCAAATTGCTTTCAATGATGCCGACGGGAAAGAGACCTTGACAAACCAACAAGACCCCACCAACTCAAGTAAACGATCTATGATACTACGAAAGATCTACGCTTGCGTCTATTTGGCCTGTATATCCATGAAGTTTTAAACCAAAACAATGTTCAGATGTCAACAAGTCAAATGCTCTACGTTGCAAAGTCACCGACCTGTTATTCTACGAATGAGCTACGTTTGCGTCTTTCTTTTTGCGAAGGATTGACTGAGGTTCTGCCATTCTACGTTGGCAAGATAATTTTTGGAATGAAACGCATCAATCAACAAAATTTGCTACGTTACGGGTATTCCTTTTCTACAAGCACAACCTCTTCTTCTTTGAGCTGTCTCGATGTGTCATTGCCACCAACGAAAGCACTCCTATAATAGAAAGGGGCACAATAAATGTCTCTTTCAACAGTCTTGGACAAATGCAACGTGGCTCCGTCGCATCAAAGATCATAAGCAGACACCATGCTCGCGAATCCTACATTTGAATAGATTGGCATTTCAATAACACTATAGACATACAATTATTCTGATTATTCTTATGACAGGGGAAGAGAAGTACCTGGTTACCAGGTACTGCTGGTCTCAACCGTTTGTCGTCACAAGTCGTAGCCAATTCTTCCAAGCGCCAAGTTGGGCAAAATTGGTGCATTTGGATCCCGTCTTTGGGAACTCTAATAAAAGGACCTCTTGGGAAAAGGTGCCAATGAAACGGACCTCTTGGGAGAAGGTGTCAAAGCCAATGCAAATAAAAAGGATCTCATTGGCTAGGTGTAATAGAATTCTGCTTACGTATGCACTGGTTTTCTTCCGACTTGCAACATATCGATTCCCTTCGACAATCATTATTTTGGAGATCCACAATTTGTCACTCCTTTGCGGAGTCTTTGTGACTCCTTTCCTCACAGGACTGCATTTCTGGCGGCAAAATGAGCCAGCAAGCCTCGAATTCAATCTGGTAGGTCCATGTGTAACACTTTGCGCGCGTTCTTTTTGCCCGACTTGTGTCTCACTTCTTTTTGAATTTTCCGTTAATTGTATGCGTGGCGGAAGAAGGCCAGACGGTTCGGATGACTCCTAAAAGACCTTAAATAACACGGCACAAATTTCAGCCGTGTTATTCTTACAACAACACGAAAAACATTGAACGATGGCCGCTGCAAGAATCGCATGGAGGAACTACATTCGAGATGTTCTTGATTTCTCTCAAGATGAGGCACAAGAGATTGCTATTGAACAGGGCTTCAGTTCCCCTGCTTTCTTTGCCCGCTCGACGCGCGAAAATATTGATTCCTTGGTGAAACAAATCAATCGCACTGTGATTGATCCAGCAAACAATCCTGAGACTACTTTCTCAATCAACCAAGCCCAGAAAATCATGCTTCACGACCTTTGCGACTATTGCCGATTTATTTATATGGTGGATCGCCAACATGATCCAGCTTTTGGGACTCAAGCGAATTTGGCAAAAATCAATTGCTAGTATTCCCATTTGAAGAACAAGTCGAACGAATTTGAAGATATTTCAGAGGTTATGCCTCCCAAATTTGATAATAAAAATACAGTTGAACTGATGGAGAGCTTGGAACAGTGGTTGAAGCGCAATCGCGGAAAAGGTGGAACTCTGTTAACCTATGTAATCCGCAAGCATCAAAATCCAGTTTGTCGCTAATAACAAAGCTGTATGGAATATGTTATATTTGGTCTGCCATGGAACTGATGCTTGGCCTGTTATAAAAGGGTACAAGACTACAGAAAATGGAAGGCAAGCGTATCTTGATCTGGTTGCCCACTATCAGGGTGAAGGTCAACTCAATAAGAGGCGCGACTCTGCCTACCGAGTCTTGAACATGACCCACTACAATGGAAAGAAGAATTTTAAGGTTCTTGGTGCCTTTGAAGATTTGAAAAATTGTGTCAATGGAATGTCCGAACATGCCAAGGTAACGAAATTCTTGAGCACGATCAAATAAGGTCCGCAGGGCGCAGGCTTGGACGCTTGTAAGACTCTTGTCCAGCGTGTATACAAAACCTGCGCACCGCTATCATCACTTTGCAGACTGAAGACATGGCCCAGCAAACTCACTGCTTAACTGTGATCAGCGGCACACGAGCCTTAGCTGCGGTCAATGGCGGAGGACATAACTCTAATCGCGGACGTGGCCGTAATCGTGAATGTGATAATGGTGGCCGTGATCGTGGTGGCCGTAATCGTAATCATAATGGTAATTGAAATCAACATCATGGACGTGGCGGAGGTCACGGACGAGGTGGTAGTCGAGCCCACGATGGTACTGTATGGTCCGATGACGGCATGACCATCCTCAACAATGGTGGATAGTCCCAAGATACTTGGAGCCGTCTCTCTGATCTTCAAGCCCGCGAAGGTGCTAACAATCGTCTTATGAGTGAACGTGACATTGCCAAATTGAACACTTTGCATGAACAAAATCGTGACTGCACCTGCTCCAGCACCCTCTTCTGGAAACGTTGGTAGCGGAGTTCGACGTGGCCGTCGCTGACATGAGGCCAACTATCAGATTTGTGTTACTTGTTCCCTTTCCTCTCGTGTTCGTGGTTGAATGTCCCTTTCCCACTCCTGCGCTGTCTGAACTTGATGAATATGTCTCGGTGGAAATGACCAGTTCCGTCCCTTGGGAACCTTATGATCCTGAATCCTCTCGCATCGAACAAAATTTACGACGTGAATATCAAGGGGACATGGCCACTCAACAAATCTATTCAGTGGAACGGTCTGATCCCAACTACCGATCGATTTGCCCACTCGCTCTTCCTATCGCTTTAGGGGACAGAGTTGAGGCAACCATCAATGGTGTTAAAACCAATGGCAAGAGCTATTTGGTCAAACCTGAACAACTTGCGCGAACATGGCAAATCAGCCTTGAATGTGCCCGTTGTACTCTCAAGAAAACAACCCAGCATGCTTTGAGTGACTGGACTGACTGCTGGAGAATTTCGATGAGTTGCAAATAAGGCCCAGGTTCCAATCCATCCTAGCGAGCCTTACAATCCTGATCAGAACCTTGCTGAAGATCGCATTTGTGAAGCAACAAAAATGTATGTTCGTTTTATGACAAGAAGAGGGATCCCAAAAGCGTTTTGGGATTGAGTCTTCATCTATTGTTTGGAACTAAGAAGTCACATGGTTCTTGGTCACTCTTGACAAGGTGATGACTGTGGTGCCGGTTGGATTTCCGGTAATACAAACGATATCTCCCATCTGGCTGATTTTGGTATCTATGATTGGTGTTGGGCCTTGTCCCCGACACACTCAAGTCAAGAGAATAAGCAATTGTGTCGTTGGTTTGGACCCAGCTTTAATATAGGTGGATCTTTGTTTTTGCATGTGCCACTTCTTGAGGGAAGCGTTTTACAGCGTTCAAGTGTGATTCCCCTCTCCAGAGAAGAGCGGGATAGTTCAGATATCAAGGATCTGAAAAAGCGTTTTACCAAGACTTACATAACTGTTTGAAGAACTCTGACCCCATCAAGATTGATGATTTACAGGATATGCACACGAATGCTAACACTCCGCATTTTCAACGATATGAAGATGAAGAAATGTTGCAGCATGAAGAGCTTTTTGAAGAAGCCCCATCTGAAGAAGATGATCAGGTGGAATTTGACAAGTATGTCTTGGACACTTCTATTTATGAAATCGAATGGCATGACGGTGAAACTGAATCCTATCGTGCAAACGAAGTTATTGAAGCAATGATGATGAATGTTGATGACGACAGTAATAGTATCCTCCATGTGAAAGAATTTATTGATCACAGGACGGATGGCACACCAGTCCATGCTGATGATGGTTTTGTCGTGGTAAAGAATAAGAAAGTTCCTCGAAGAACTACAAAAGGGTGGTATATGTGTGCTCAGATTCATGGTGATGAGACAGAATGGATCGATTTGGAAACGGCAAAGGAGGCCTATCCAATTCAGGTGGCCGAATATGCTGTTGCTAACGAACTTGTATCTGAGACTGCTTTCTCTTGATGGGTCCCTTATACTTTGAAGAAGCGCGATAGAATTCTAAAGGCTGTGAAAAGAAGAGCCTTAACTCGCAAGACTGAGAAATTTGGTTTAGAATTGCCTGGTTCTGGTCCAAAAGGCGTGAGCAATCATTGGGGAAATGTTATTGAAAAGGAAGTAAAGACGGTGTTGCCTGAATTAAGAATCTTGGGACCAAATGAACCTGTTCCTCCTGGATATACTTGTATTGATTTGATGACTGTTTTCGATGTTAAAATGGTCCTCACACAAAAGGCCCGAATATGTGCTCGAGGGGACCAAACTGATCCTCCTCTTTCGGTAACGTATGCCAGTGTTGTCACTTGTGAGAGTATTCGTATTGGATTCTTGCTTGCTTTCGCACTGCTGTTGTGGAGAAAGCACTCTATGGATTAAAATCTTCCGGGTTCACATGGAGATCTGCGCTTTCTAAGACTCTGAGAGAAGAAATGGAGTTCGAACAGTGTCGTGGTGATATGGATGTTTGGAGAAAACCCGCCTTGAAGTCAAACGGCGAAAAATATTACGAATATATTTTCGTTTACACCAATGACCTTATGGCTGTTTCTGAAAATCCTCGTGCTATATTGGAGAAGCTTGGAATGCATTACATGCTCAAGCCTGATTCAATTGCAGAGCCTACAACATTCCTTGGTGCAACAATTTCAAAACGTTTTGTTGACCCAAGTGATTCTCGAAAATGCTGGTCGATTGGTTCGACTAACTATTTGCTTGAAGCGTTACGTGTCGTTAAGTCTCGAATCTCACATCAAAAATACAACTTGAATTTGAAAAGAAACATGTCTGCTGCCTTACCTTCTGGTTATAAGCCTGAGCTTGACAACACTGATTTTGTTGACGCAGAGACACACACACTGTATATGCAACTGATTGGAATCTTACGGTGGTTAGTTGAGCTTGGAAGAATGGACGTTTGTGCTGAAGTCTCAATGATGTCTTCGTACAATGCCATGCCTCGTGTTGGACATTTTCATGCGGTATTACACCTTTTTGGTTATCTTGAAACACATCCGAGCCGCAAGATTGTCATGGATTCCGCATATATGGCTCTGACCGACATACCAAAATCTGAATGGCATGAATTCTATCCATGGGCAAAAGAAGTACTGCCTCCTGATATGCCAGAAGCCCTTGGAGGAGCGGTAAAGATTGTGATGTTTGTTGATGCCTCACATGCTTCCAATCTTGTTACACGTCAATCCAGAACAGGTGTTCTTATCCTCTTAAATCATGCACCGATCGTTTGGTATTCGAAGAAGCAGAA